TTACACTTGTGTATCCCCCATAAATGGGTTTTCTATTCTTTCTTACTTCGTGGCTGCTAAACTACCGAAAATTACGAAACTTCGTGACCAGATGATGACGCAACTTTTTTGGGTCTTAACCTCTCTTCCCCTCAACCCCTTCCCCGTTAATATGAGAATAATCCAGAATATTTAAAAGAGAGATGGGACATTCATTTTATTGTTGAAACAGGTTTAAGTTAGTGTCTAACAAATGCTCTCCTTCCTTGACGTTCCCTTTCTACCACATATTTAAAGATAACATTAAAAAAAAAAAAATCGACAAGATGCTTTTCGAAGGAGTTGTGAACATGTTTTTGTTCCATTGTTTTGGCTATAGAAACCAAGGGCCATGGTTAGTTTTATTTAACCACATCGAAATTATTACTTGCTCCAACTTTGAGTCGACAGAAAAATAAAATTTGGCAGTAGTTTTTGCAAAGAAAGAAAGACAGAAAGAAAGAAACGTTCTTTTAGAAATGCGGGCTTACCGAAGTAAAATTGCTAGTGTGGTATTCATCAGAATTTGATTTGTTTGAAATGAGCCATACTTACCAGGAGGACCTATTTAGCTTTTGGATTAAAAAAAAATTGCACTTTCTCTTTGGTGTGCCGCGTGCTCAACGAAAACCAGAAAAAGGAGAACGTCCGCTCTGGAAATGTTTAGCAGACACAGGCATGAAAAATGAGTTTTTTCTTTCTATTTAATTGTAAGAGCGTGATCTCTCATCTCCCCATCCCCGTGGCTTTTTTGTATGAAAATGCCAGTAAATTTATTTCAATCCCGCTTACTATAAACTCAATTACTAGATCAGTGGAAAAAATGTGCAGTTTCTAAGATTGACTGCAAATGAAAAAATCGAAACACTCTTCCACGCGCACGATAAGAAAGTTATCACCAGTAAGCGTTAACACGTATTACTGAATCCGCGAATTTTTACTTGTTTCGAGGTGTTTGCTCATTGTTTGCTCATACTGTTGCCGCAATATTTTACCCTGAAACGACCGCCTATTCCGATGTCACTTCAGCTAATAAAGTTACTTCTTCAATCTGTTCTGTTCTAAATAGTATATTTAAAGCGAAGTCTTGTTGGCTCGCCAGTGAAAACCTTCCACGTGGTCATCGTTTCTTTCTTTTACATCCATTGCGTTATTACACTGTGCGCAGCGAAGTGGATTGGCGAGCAGATTCCCGTTCTGTAGCTAATGGATAACATTCAATACAGGACCTTGCTCTAAGGCTGTATACATATATATAAAAGGGCCGCATACATATATATAAAAGGGCTTTTCTTATGTGCGTTGAAAACCTTGAAATGAACAACTCGCTCAAAGGGGCTCTTTTCATCAAAGTAAGCGGTCAGATAACAAGCAATACGCTGTGGAAGCGAGGTGAGGTATTTTTTTTGAGAATTTGACGTATAGAGCGCTCGTAAATATTCCCATACAAACTCTTATAATTCCGCCATGACCGTTATTGCGTAAGATGATCATCTCACAGCTGGAGCTTGGGCCGCCTGTGGTAGACACAAAGCAGAAAATGATTTGTGAGTAGAAGGCAAGTGCGGGATTGATGAGACGTCGCTTTTTCTCGCTTAATCACTTTTGGCTTGAGATTTAAACTCTAAAGATTTCATTTTTGGCTGACTTTCGATGTATTTTCATGAAATTTGGAGATAACGTCCCCCATAAAAAGGTTCCCTAACACTTCGCTCAAAAGCTCTAGTTCGGAGCGTTACCGCTCAATTGGCAGAAACTCTTTTCGAATTCAATGTGTTGACCACGTTCTCAATGAAAAACGAACGTCAAATAAACTAATCTTGTCAACAGTTCAGGCGTTTAAAAGCTCCCTTTCCGCTTGATGATCAAAATTTTAAAAGTAAATTAAGTAACCCAAGTCATTACTTGAGTATGCTATTTCCGCTCATGCGCTAATTTTCCTTCTGTGATACCTTGGAACGCCGGATGTACTCTGCTAAATAGGTAGACGTGCTTACTCAGCTATTTCAATGCTTGCACAATCAATGAAAATAGCCAGTCATTCTTAACTTGCTTTTTAATACTGTTATCATAAACTTTGATGAAGAGTTTGGAAGAGTGAAAACCAAACTTTTCCAGGAGGAAAAAAAAAATTTATCCAGTCATTTGTTACCTTTCCAGATAAAATGTAAATTTCACACTGGTCTTTAAAGAATATTGGCCCCTATGATTACAGCATGTTCTAGTGTCTTTACCTTTCTCTAACAAATGCACCTATATGTAATTTCTGCAAGTGCCATGTTTTAAGAAAATTTCCAGTAAAATGAGGGAAATCAATTCAAAATTACAATATAATGAATTGTTATGATTGGTGATACTAATACCTAATATTTCCTTACTCTAGGTTAGAGTTATTCGCATCATACTGTAGAGGGCATGCCATGTCGTAGGTTGCGACTGGCCTCCAAGATGGTGTGAAGCTACTGGAATTATTCGGAGGATCAAGGAAAAAGAAAATTTTCCTGTGGCTTCCAAATCCAGGTAAATGACTTAACTTTTATTATTTTCTCAGTCCTCTTCATTCCGCTGAACCTTTTTGGTCTCATGTCCTCCACTTCATGCCATGGAAGCTGTCTCTCCCCCATTTCCAAAAATTTTTTTTCATCACATGTTATAGTTCCTTACTGTTGACATCTATCCTCGAAATTGGCAACTTATAGAGTTTGAAACCCATCTACATTTTATATCCCAACTCTCAAAATATTTCACTGGTTATCAATAGACAAACGCCCCTTGGCAAACCAGTACAGATGTTTTCTTGCTGCTGTGAATTTTTAGCAAGTTACATTTGTGCACTGTTCTAAACTCTCTCATTGTCTAAAAAAATTAAAACTTTCAAAGAAAACATGTTCCTATTTAGGTAAACTATCGAAGCAATCAACGACCATGTTGAAGGCAATGAGTCAGAAATTCACAACTATGTCAAGAAAAATGTCCCTCAGTTGCAATATGTGATTGATCCCTCGTGACAAGAATCTCATTCTTGATTTCAGCCTCACATACCTCGACATCCACAGTATCAACTCCAGTACCTTCATCGACCCAACCTAACCCCATTCCTTCACTAGCCCAAACTAACCCCACCCCTCCACTGGCCCAACTAGCCCAACCTGACTCCACCCTTCCACTGGCCCAAAGTAGCCCCACTCCTCCACTAGCCCAACCTAACCCTACCATTCCACTTTCCCAACCTAACTCCAATCCTCCACTAGCCCCAACGAACCCAACTCCTCCACCAGCCCAACCTAACCCCACCCATCCACCAGCCCAAACTAACCACACCCCTCCACTAGCCCAACCCAACCCCACTATTCCACTTACCCAACCTAACCCCGATCCTCCACTAGCCCAACGTAACCCCGCTCCTCATTCATCCCGACCCATCTTTGCTCCTCCATTGGCTCACCCCAACACCACATCATCCACTTCAGAAATTGGAGGTAAGGAATATTTTTTCCATACACACACTACAAAGGACAAAAAAAAATAACAGTACCGAAGAAATACAAGCACAATTGATTTGAATTACAGTTCTTTAATTAGTGATATCCAGCATACACCTTAACAATATTTATGTTTATTATCATGAGAGATTATGACCAACTGCAGCAATCCATGCATGTTGGTAAGTGGGTGTAAACATTTTGAGGCTGCAGCTTCTTAAATTTAATTGTCTAACATATTCCAGGTCATGAATGATTTATGAAACCTATTATGCTCATGGTCTGATACCAAGAACTTGTTTAAACATCCCTTACCGAAACATCACATCAAACTAAACAACCTGTAATGGTTGAGGTTGTTTCCTTGTTAAACTGTCCATTGCAATTTTCATTTGTGCTGATGTTCATACATTTCAACAGATAATGATTTACCCGAAATGTTATGGCTTGCAGATGATCAACCCCAAGGTATTACCAGTTGATACAACAACCCACTCGTCTGGGTTGTTGTCATTATTTGTTTTTAATTCTTTACATTCAAAGAAAATTTACAATTTTAACATTCTTCCCACTTATTCTTTCAGTCAGAACAGATGCCCTTCAAACAGGTAAAAACTGTGATATCTTGCCATTGATTGGTTAAGATTAATAGGCCTTATTCGTATTCCCGGACTGGTCTGGGACGAGTGTTTTGTTTCGCGCGAAAGCGAGGCTCATGCTGGGGAAAATTAAAAATACCCTTTGACACAGCTGGAAAAATACGGAGAAAGTCACTTTGGTTCGCAGTATTTGACGGCAAAATCATGGTTAAACATAACTGCTGTGCATATGGCTGCTCCAACAGCACTGAAAAACAAAAAAACCATCTGAAATATCCAGAACTCAAAGGAATAACGTTTCACACTTTTCCTATCGGCGACCGAAAGAAGACTTACGCACCCGGAATGAATGAAAACGAGAGAAGAAAAAGGTGGATAGCTGCTTGTCGTTTAAGCAGTTTAAATGTCACAAGACATACAAGAATTTGTTCAGCACACTTCGAAGGTGGTTTAGGACCCTCAAAGCTTAATCCTGTCCCAACAATTTTCAGTTTCCCGACTCATTTGCAGCCCAAAACCCGACGGAAGCGAACAGATCCAGAGGAAAGGAGACGAGGAGCTTTGAGCTGCATACAAAACAAAACCAAGACTGCACCAAGGAGACAAGCAGGTAAAACTGACAAAAACAAGGAAAACCCGGAACCATTGGGCCTGTCATCACAACTGCAGGAAACTGCGTGCTCGAGCGACATGGATTTTATTTTTTCTGAAGAGTGTGAGATTAAAACTGAACAGACACCTGATCCAAGATCCCTTGCAGACAAGTGTATCCAAACCGACCTTACCTGTGAAGATATCGACTGCATGGAAGCAGCCAAAGCTAAACTGGAAAATAAACCAGAACTGAAGAGAGAAATGTTTATAGACGACGTCCTAAAGCAACAAGTCCGTGTGTTTCTACACTGGATTGCCCTCCTATGCCTGTCTTATGATGTTGTTTCCCTTTCTGAAACCATTTGCAAATGCAATGAAATATTGGGACAACAAGAAAAAGGGACAGAGGGAAACGTATCAGGTATCTTAATATTATTACACAGCAGTCTTGTTAATATTTCCTTTCATTTGTTTTGATGAACATTATGGCATAAAATGTTTACACAGCAGTCTTGTTAATATTTCCTTTCATTTGTTTTGATGAACATTATGGCATAAAATGTTTCATGTTTGGTATAAATAGCAATATAGACCCTATGCAAAAATGGGTACCTTTGAATTTTTTTGTTCGTATTCAAAATAGCCTCACTAACCTCGATCGGGATAACATATTCTTTACAAATTTTGTCTCAAAAACGACGTTAGCGAGGCTTTTTTAAATATGAACAAAATGATAATATATGCATAGGGTCTATAACATGATATATTATGTTATTATGATTTCCAACTATGTGATAATTGCCTAAACATTTTGCTTCAGCAACTCAACTGCACGTTTTTACTTTTATTACAGGAAGATGAACATGTTAACAAGCCGGGACCAAAGAGGCAGATGCCATTATTTTCTGAATTTTTAATGGTTCTTATAAGACTCAGGCTTGGACTGTTACAGAGTCACCTGGCAGACATTTTTGCAATTTCACAAAGTTCAGTTTCCAAGATTTTTACAACTTGGATTAATCTTTTGTATCATGTATTTAAGGAAGTTCTTATAATATGGCCTGCAAAGGTTCAAATTCAAAAGCACATGCCTAAGAGCTTTAGTAGGTATCCTCGGACCCGTGTAATTATTGACTGTACAGAGTTTTTTATAGAGAAGTCCACTCAACCTTCAGCTCAGAAAATTACTTGGAGTGATTACAAGTCACATAACACTTTCAAACTCTTGGTTGGTATTTCACCCACTGGAGCCTTCACATTTGTCTCTAAACTTTGGTCTGGTGGGGTCTCTGACCGAAATATAACTCAGAAATCTGGACTGATAGACAAGCTGGAACCTCTAGATGATGTGATGGCTGATAGAGGATTCAATATTAGAGATATGGTCACAAAGAAAAAGGCCACATTAAACATTCCCCCCTTTGCAAAGGGGAAGTCCCTTTCAACAAAGGCATGTACAAAAACCAGGAGAATAGCTGCAGTTCGCATACATGTGGAAAGAGCAATCCAGCGGCTCAAGTGTTTCCGAATTTTACGTGGTGTGATACCTATCACCCTTGCTGCAGTTGCTGATCAGACTGTGTTTGTATGTGCAGCACTGTGTAACTTAATGAAGCCTCTTGTTTCAAAGTAAATGTCTAAATAATTTTCTTATGTCTGTATAAATCATATGATTTTTGATCGAACTAAAAAAAAACAATGAGCATGTAACCCCTTACAGTAGCTACTATACTAGGTATAAATGGAATAGTTATGCATTTACATAGGCTCAATGTCACGAAAGGTTCATATTTGGAAGTTGAGTTTCTACATTATATGTATATTTATTTATCTGTACTATATAACACTGTACGGTTCTGACCATATTTAACCTTTGGAAAAGCTAGTTCTGGTAAAATGACCGAGTCAAAAAATGAATCCAGCTTAACTAGCACTGGAGACCAAAACTCTTGATCAAACAACACTTTCTCAACATAAATACCACCATCCCTGCCACAAGCAACAAATATGCCCCAGGGATACGTTGTTGCAAACATTTGTTGATGTAGTTGATAAAAGTATTTATGATTTCTATCAAGGGCTATACCATTGCTTCTTTTTATACAAATATGCTGTTTCAGTAAAATATCTTCAAGGGTTTCCCCTGACTTCACCTGAAGAAATTTCATCTCAACCACACCTGGGCTAGACTCAGACTGATCATATATTATTCTATCTGGAGAGGCACCAATATGTCCATGGGTCTTGCTAATGACAAATCCACACTTTTCGACTTTTATATCAGAATGTCCATTCTGTTTCATGTATTTTATTAGTGCCTGTTCAATTTCATCCTCCTTTGCCAAGCCCTCCTTCATGGCAGCTGTTAAAGGCACTTGGTTGTAACTCAAAACTTCCTTTAAAGCTTTAGTTGGAGATGTGGTTAATTTCAAGCTTGCAATACGTTTACAATGAGAAGCGGTGATTCTTCCTGTTCTGTACTGAAACCAGTCAATGGCATCACTCTGCAGTTTTGTCTTTTTTTCCACTGCATCAATTTCATCATCTGTAAACTGAAGTTTTCTTTTTATTGCCTTGCCCCTTTCTTTAATCTCATCCAGACTGGGTGGCAAAGGTTTCATTGGTGATAAAGAATCTAATGTAAATGTAGTAACAATTGAATTTTCCTCTCTTATGTCATTTACATTTTCTGAATCAAGTTGAGGATGTTGACCATTACATGTGTCTGGGTCAGGTAACAGATGCAGTAATACAGCTGAAGGAACAGTTTCAGCAACAAGCTTTCTAAAATTCTCAGCCAAATTTACATTCGTATCATATGAAGTTCTGGGGTCATAAGTATCACACCTTGGTTTTAGTCGCTTCTTTTTCTCTTTGTTCAGTGTGGGTTTTGTAAAATCCATGGCTGATCCTTTTGTCATGCCCTCATGAGTCCTCTTCCGTTGTTTCCAAGTGCACTTTCTCCCTGTGCAAGTTATTACAACATTTTCTCTCAGTGTAGCTTCAAGGTCAATAAGCGAGGCACCAATGTGCCGGCAAGCACCATCAGCCCTGATCAAGAAATTAGGAATTAAGAAAAGTTTCAACAGATATATTGTGATGACCAGAGTCAAAGTTTTGAATACTAGATAAAAGGAAATTATTCTGAAAGCCATAGAGATCACATACACTTGGGCATAGTATAAAGATGTCTTCAACAATTTGGAAACGAAGTACAAAATTTCGCAAAGCTGCAAATTATTATTTTCATTAACACTTCAACATTGTGTCAGTTGAACAGATCAATCTGGATTTATCATTTAACACATACATAAATCAAATTCATTTTTTAAGATGGCCAAATATTAGCCGAGGCAGCAGAATACACACCCTCCTATACAAGGGCAATGCGCTGTGTAAACTGATCCATCTGACTGAATTATTATCCATCCATCGTAAGTTGGTTTCTGTCCGACTTGCGTTTTCTCTCGTTCCGTTGGCTTTACTCCAAATTTAACGTAGTGGTATCCATTGAACAAGTTCTTGTTCTTCATCAATTTTAACACATGGCCATCCCAGAACAGGCGGTAGCCTTCGAACGACTTATATGCCTTGAGAGACTCGTGGTCATAACCCTCCTTATTGATTAAGTAAGCGTACATATCACCGTATGTGAAGTTCGGAAAATCAGAAAAGTCGGAAGTCCAGTCAGAGTGTAACGTGTTAGGACAGGGGAGCGAACCTTCTTTCGTCTGCAACTTGTTGACTATCACATCCTCCGGTTTCTCCCAATCGTCTATCGGTTCCAGTGAAAGATCGCGAGCCTTCTCCACCAATTCTACTAGTTCCTCCTTTCTCTTTTGCGAAACAGTTATTCCACGGCTCTGTAAATACGATTTCAACTCAGGAACTTTCCATTTTTGAACTTCACTCTCTGCCCCTCCTACGAAAGCCATATTGAAATCACAGATTCCCCCGCATGAGCCTCGACATCGTGCACTCGCCCAAGGCCGTCCGGGAATACGAATAAGGCCTATTGCGAAGATTATGATTGGAGATAAATTGTACCATCATTATATATGTGCGCCATATTAACCAGACTTTATTTGTGGATTAGTATAAATATTTTAATTTTTATTAGTATATCATCTTTACTATCATTGATTGATGCACTGGCTTTATGGTGACAATTATTTACAGTACAATACATCAATGCTCAAATTCAATGTTCTAATGGGAAAACATTTAAATGTAGTTGGTGTCCTTCGAGAAGACTTAAGCCCAGTGGGAGCTGTTCGTCAAAACCTCGGAAAAGGTACCATTAATTGAAAAGGTAGATTGGATACACAGGATGCATGCTTCAACACAGGTTTTACAGTAGTTTGCCAGGCTTCATTCTTTTTCAGGTAGTTCAGATGGTAAAGAGAGTGGGCTTCACTGCTTGCCCTGAAGGGCAAGCCATGACTAGCATGGTACTGGCCCTCGAGTGATTTTTACTGCCCCAAAATGATGTGATTTGAACGAATCTTGAAAAAATCTGTCTATCCATTGGGCAAGTGAGAGTAAGAATTCACTAGCCTAATCAGAAAATCCATTGTTCCTGGGCTATCATACATAACTTTCTTTGCACACTGTAGTTGTAGAGTTGAGTCAAAGTATTCATAAAGGAATTTAAGACCACTGAAGCTTAATGTCTTTCTTTCATGTGTACCACTTAACAAATTCAATTGTTTTGGTTATTTGCTTCCCTAGTGGCATTAGGGAGACTGGACAGGGTGGAGGAGGTACTTCTATGTGAGAGGGAACTTTACCAAAACTATGCTGTGCTGGATTCCCTACCTGTCTTCTTAAATCTCACCTTTGAAGAGGCTAGTATTGAATGTTATAGCTCCACTACACATGGAAGTCTGTGTCTAACTAGTGTGCTAAACATATGCGAAAAATGCAAAGATATGTGTGGAAGGTTCCATACATGTACATTTTTGTCCACTTCCTTTGCATGTGGCTACAGAAAAGTGCTACACCATAGCTAAAAAACCTAGTGTGCATGTTAGAGTTGCGACTAATGTGGTTATAGGGGATCCCTACTCTAAGCATACCAGGTATTTGAGTGAAACTACACAAAGCTCTAAGTAATGCTTCAATTTCCCTTTCACTGAGGGAGGGAAAAGAAGAAATAGGACTTAAATTTTAGTGATTTGGCTTTCAACAGGTTTCCATTAAGCTCCTACCCAATCAAAACACCCCAAAGAATACCCAAAAATAAATTGTCCAGCCCCAACCCCTTCCTCTGCATTCTTAATAGCATTTGCAACAAGGACTATTATCATTACAAAGAAATTTCAAATCAAACTCTCCTTCCAAACACATTTCAATTCTGTTAAAGAACTGGAAAAGTAGATTTCTCTGAAAAAACCAAATTTTCCTCAATTAAACGCTTCTCTTGCTTGCTTTTTTGCAGATATGCTTCCAGGCAAAGAGAGATTTTAAAATGTTTACACTGATTATCATAAAACAGGGCGATAATTTTGATCCTGTGCGAAGGTTAGCTGCTTGCTATTTGTTGTTATAAAATTAGGATCTTGCGCCTGTACGGCTACAGTGTAGTTATTAAGACAACATTACCTTGAAGTTCAAATTTCATTGCCTAGTACTAGAAATTCAAATAAAGGCTAAAGGATTCCTGGTCGGAAACTGAGACAGGTCATATATCAGCCATTTCCAGAAATCATAGCATTATGTTACTAAACATGACATGACACAACACTCCAACAATTAGAGTATGCACATGTTTTACAATTTTCCAACTTATATCAAATTCCATACTCAGGTTATCAAAGTGAGAATAATTCCCATTTGTCAACAAATCCTTAAAAGTAATCAGTTTTGTTTCTATTTTTAACTATCTGCAGAATTTGTAGCATGCTCCAAACATTATCAGTTGATCTGTACTACTGGATGGCATGTATGGAGAGTGCAAGTGGGAGAAGAGGTAAATCAATTATCCCAAAGCTGATTCTTGGTATAGATGGTGTACACTGAAGAGAATTAAGCAGTATAGCAATTCAAGAAGAAAGCCAGAAAAATTCTCCGTTTAGTCAGCTTTCATCTGATCATTGTCTATACATTTACACACAAACATGATAAAAGTATGACTAATGATCCTCTTGAGATTTCTAACATCTTCAATAACTACTTTTCTTCGGTCGGTAAAAACCTAGCTTCACGCGTACCTTGTTCATCTCGCTTTTTTACCGAATACTTGTCTCCCAATTATAATCCAAGCTCTTTCTTCTTTGATCCAGTTACGCCAGAGGAAATTGAGCGTGAGATACTTTTGATCCCTAAAAATAAAACCTACGGTCTCCACTCTTGTCCGATTCGTATTTTAACTGACGCAAGATGCGTTATCTCGGGCCCTCTCTCCATCATCATAAACATATCTGTGCAAAAGGGCATCTTTCCATCCAAACTGAAAAAAGCGAAAGTTGTTCCTGTGTACAAAAATGACGATGAGACTGAGCCTGGTAATTATCGTCCGATATCATTACTGTCTATTTTCAATCGGATATTTGAAAAATTAATGTACCACCGCCTCAAATCCTATCTTGGTAATAACGATATTCTATTTAAGTCACAGTATGGCTTCCGCGAAAACCATTCCACGCAACATGCCATTATTGATATCGTTAATGTCATACAAAACAATATGGACCAAAAACTTTTCACTTGCGGGATCTTTTTAGACTTAAAAAAGGCCTTTGATACCGTCGACCATTTAATCTTGCTTCAAAAACTTAATCATTATGGCATCAGAGGAATTATCAATGCTTGGTTTGCCTCATACCTTCTCGGTCGTTCACAAGTAACTGAAGTGGGTTTTAACTTATCTAACGAATGTATGATCTCATGTGGTGTCCCACAGGGGTCTGTGCTTGGTCCTCTGTTATTCTTAATCTATATTAACGATATTCACAACTCTTCAGCGAAATTGTCATTCTATCTCTTGAAAAAACCGTCAATAGCGAACTGCTCAAAGTCTGACTGGCTCAATGCAAATAA